ATTATCCAGTTTAGTGTTAGGTGGACAGTAGGACTAGATGATCTTGAAGGTCTCTTTTAAAATTGATGGTTCTACAATTCTATTTATCATTATCAGCAGTTGGTGATCATAACTACTTGTGTATTTTAAAGCTGAAGCAAGATACACCCAGCCAGGACAGGGGCCAAAAATACTAATGGTAAGGATGAGAAAGAGGGAAGAAGGAAGGACACAGTTTTCTAAGCATTTTAATAACTGCTACTGGCCAGAAGCAAATGTTATAACTCAGATTATTTTAAAGTTCACATTTATAGTTCATTCGTCTGAAAATTCTGCCCATAACATCCATGAGTTTCTCTACCCAGATGCAATCCCTGAGAGAAATGTTCCTTATAATTCAAAGTAGACCTAGCCTCTGGCTCACAGAAATTTTTTAACTCCTTAGAGACTTCTGCTTTCTTACTTAAGGACTCCCATCTAAGAGAGAAGCACAGCAGGCATACCTGAACAGAAATCTAAGTCCCATTCATAACTCAGTGAATTGCCCAGAATAATACACAACAGCTGAACCCCATATGTGAACCTGTTATTCCACAAAAACCCTATCAAGTCTACCTTTATTCCATGAATGGACCATTCTCATTATTGGAACCAATTTAGGTGTAACAGGATATTATGAGTAAGGTTAATGACAAGCACCAGAAGATACTACAGAGGTGATTACCAGGCCAGGAGTAATCAGTTAGGTGCCATAGAGCCAATCAGTCTCCTACACCTGAAATCATGGTCGGATCAAGTCTGAAATTCAAAACCTGAGCTAGAAACCATAAAGATCTACAGCTAATAAAAAATGGACTTTGGGAAAGCCTAGTCCTCAGCATTCTACTTTGAACACGGACTGCAGGCTTCCAGGAGCCCACACTGCACAGGCAAGGTGCCCCACAATGATTTCAAAGGAAACCTGAATACAGTCAGCCACAGAGCAGTGAATCACAGAGAGTCAGACCAAGCCTGCAAAGAACCAGCCCACAATAGAATCCAAATCTCATCTCTTACCTCTCCCCAAGTCCTTTCTGGATATCTGAAATGGTGCATTACAACCTCCCAAGTACAGGAGGTCTCAAAGGATGTGTGTGAAAAAGGTCATGGTTCTTTAGCTTTTCAAAAACCAAGGTCCTTCTGAACATGTGCTGACATCACACAGGCACAGGAGGTATTAAAACACAACATCCACGCACACTGATACACCCCCTCTGAAGTGGAGTCATTAGAATGACAGGACAACTGCTGAAAGTAGTTACCAGGATCACAACTTAGGATCTGGATGCCCACATGAAATTCCTGCCAGCACAAAATTCCCAGTTTCGATGATTAAGTCTACTTTCAAAACATCCAGCTGTACATTTCTAAAATTGTGCAGTTTTTAGAACCTGGAAGGAATTAAAGAATTGCCTTTAGAAGAAGCTCCATCACTTCTAACAGGCTCTACAGCAGAGAAAGAAAACTGGCTGTTTTGTCATAAAACAAATAACATTCTTCAAGTCACAGATTTCACAGTATCCTTACAGAGAAAGGTCCAAATCCCATTGGAATATAATGGAACTGAACACATGCATTCTAAACTACAATGGAATTTAGGTGCCTACATCCAATTGAAATACAATTAGATTTGAGTACCTAAATCCCATAACCTAATTGAAAGTCTATCCTCAGTGTTTCACAGGATCATGGGGGCAGGTGGGACTTTGAAAACATATCACATTATGACTCAACTAGAACAAAAGAAGCTGCATTTAACTCAATAAGATTATCTATCTCACCCTTCTCACCTATAGGATTATTTTCTTAGGTTTTATTCTTTTACAACAGAAGGTGGCATTGCTGAACTACCAGTGTTACACAATTAGCAGATCCTGCATTCTCCTTCCCAGCAGAGAAAGTGCTGGGAAATTCACGGAGGCTGCATAAAGTTCGCTTAATTAATAGGCTTTCCAGATTCTGCAAGCCCTAGCCCCTAAACAAGGTTAAATTAAGGTAGTGAGCCAGCCAGCAGGAGCAAAAATCATGGGTTTTCTTCTGAAGAAAAAAAAAAAAAAATCACACAGGATTACAATGGCTGCACAGATTTTGATCAGGCCTATAATACATTTACCAATACTTTGGAAAACTAAATAACTAGAAAATCTGGTACCACTATATGGAGGAAAAAAAATAATAAAAAAAAAAAGCAGTAACTACTTTCCACTGTTTAACACATTCAGCAACTGGTTTCGTCGTCCTTTCCCCTCGATAAAGGCGAATTGCAGGGTATTGCCACAGGGTGGCTCATCACCCTGCGATGCGAGTCTCTCTGCTTACACAAGCAGCCGGAGCAAAGCCGCTCTTCCTCCGAGCCGGATTGCCACAGACCGAGCACACAGGACGAACAACTGCAAAGAGAAAACCAGGGAGAGCACAGACCCAATTTTAATTCACCTTAGCCCTGCATAGCTTCTCTCCCGCCAGTGAGCCAGCAAGCATTCCTGATGATTTTGCGGGCGGATAGAACCGTGTGACGCGAAGGCAATGAGCCCGCATTCCTCAGCGGCCAAAAATCCCACTGACTTCCTTGGAATGTCCAAATGGCCGAGAAAATTCAGCCTCACGCCTTATTCCTATATTCCTGTTCACTGTGACAAAACTCTCTTCAAAGGGTATGGGATAGGAATCCTGTTCACTCGAGATGCCATTATGAAAACTGACCTCACTATCACCTCCGGGCTGGTAAAAATTTTGTGTTCACCTCTGCAATAAAATAATGTCACAAACTGTTAGGAAAGCAGACTAGCAAGCTGAAAAATATGCACTTTGAACTATCAAATGGTTCTAGATGTGAAAAAAATCCACTTCATACAGGTAGGAAACTCTATAAGTAACTATTTACAGTTAAATAAATTCAAACAGGAACATGTAACTAAATTATTGTAATGATCAAACATGATTAACTACTATAAAAAAAGTGAACAAGTGGAAATTAGAATTCTCTTGTTTCTAACTTTTTTTCTTTCTACTGCTCTACATTAATTTCATCCCAAGTAGGACAAAGTTTAAAGTTATTATATACTTAGCATATTTGGTTTGGTAGTGCAGTTTTCAAAATGTAATTTAATCAATTTCCTCAGATTTAATATGGCATTTTAAAAACTAGTACATTGTATCTTCCCAATACTACATACTTAGAATTGGATCCAAAAAAGTTCCCCATTGCATGGCTTCTGAACTATTCATTCACAAATGCTTTTTGAATGAATTAATTCTACTCATGATGAATATGAGCTACCCTGCCAAATCTGAGGCTATTTCTTGAAAGACTAGCATCCAGAATAACCAGTGAGTTCAAAATTAATTCCAGATGGCCCAGTGTGGTGCTGAAATAACATGACAGAGCAGGGGGGGGGAAAAAATACATATATATCACTGAGCACAGAATAAAAGATTCCCTAGCTTTGCAAGAATATAATCTAAAGGAAAGAATGACACTCCGGTGGTAACATCAGCCCCCCGGGCAGTGTTTACTGACACGGGCAATGCCCCAGGCGCAGCCCGGATCACCCCACAGCTCCTGTACCCTGCTTGTGTGCCCGTGCCCTGGAAATGTGCCGAGTTTATGATAAACAAGCAGAGGAGTTGTGCAGCACTAACAAGAGGTGCAGTATTTTCCAGAGCCATGAACACAGGAGAGACCTGAGGGAGTGGGTGTTGCATTCCTAAATTATGTATAAAGAACATAAAATGCACGAAGAGTTTTTTAACAAAACTTGTGTTCATCTTCTCCAGAGCATCACACTGCTGCTAGCACGTCACTATGAGACAGAGAGGTACTGATTTATTCCCACCGCTATTTGCGAACAGTGCTTTCCCACCACCCAGGAAACTCCCAGATCCCTTTCATCCGTGAAATTTCACGCGTCTCTCCACAACCACTCCCGTTGGCTGCCCTACGCATGCAACTCGCGGTTCAGCGGGGCTTTATGGCAGAGCTAGGTGAACCCACATTAAGAGCCCGCAGAGGCTTTCCTGTACCCAGGAACCGGGAATGCGGAGACCCGGAACCCTTGCGCGCCTTCCTTCCCCGCACTGTACCGAGACACTCAGAACTACAAATCCCACAATGCATCGCGCCCACGCAGCGGAAATTGGTGTCACGTTAGCTGGCAGGGCACGCCGGTCTTTGTAGTCCCTGCGCGGCCCCGCCCTTCCCGCTGCTCTGGGCAGGCCCCGCCCCCTGCTCCGCCCCCCGCGCGGGCGGGCCCGGCGGTGGCGCGGCGGAGCGGGGCGCGCGCGGCGGGAGCAGGTGAGCGGGGCCGCCGTGAGGGCGGGAGCGCCAGCTCCGGGAATTAGGGGAGCGGGCAGGGAGGGAGTGAGGCAGGGGGCAGCCCGGGCGGGGAAGGCCGGGGGAGTGGAACCTCGCTGCTGCCCGTCCCGCGCCGGACGCCGCCGGCCCCCGCCGCCTCCGCGCAGCTGTCGCAGCTCCCGCGCACCGGTGGGGAGGCGGCGGCACCGCGGGGTCCGGCCCCGCTCGGGCGGGACGGCGGGCACGGAACCCCCCGTTCCCCGGGGCGGGGCCCGCCGGGCCTCCAGGTGTTTCCTCGGCCGGTCCCCGCAGCCGTGCGGAGGAGCCGGGAGCGTTCCCGGGACCCCGCCGGTGTCACGGGCTCGGGGCCGCCCCTGGAGTTACGTAAAACGGCGGCGGCGCTCCCCGAGCGCGGCCCCTCGGCGGCGGGGCCGGGCCGGGCGCTGCCGGCCGGTCTGGTTTGGTTCTCCCCGGGTTCAGAACCGTCGGAAGCGGCGCTCCCTGACCTGCGGGTTTCGGGTGCGAGGTGCCCGCACTTGTTTCTGGTTCCGTAACAAACTCTTCGGGGCAGCAATTACTCCTCTGTGTGTCAGGTGTGATAAATAGTCCCGTCCCCCACCCCCCGTTTTGAGTCCATAAGCAGGTAACAAATGTTGTTAGGTAACTTGGCTGAAGTGGGCACAAAATGACTATTTAAAAAATCATGAAAGCTAAGTTTGGAAGTTGTTTCTTTATACCACTTGTTCTATAGTTGACTTTTCTCAGTAGCACTTAAATCCTAAACATCAGAGATCAGCTTGTCTGCATTGTCCAAACAGAGGCAGAATATATGTAACCAGATCGCAATAATATTGCATAGCTAAAAGTCTTCTAAATCAAATTACAGCTGTTAAGTATGGATTGTTTTGTTTCTAATCTATTATCCTGGAATCGTGTGGCTTACATCTTTCTCACTGAATATACAAGCCATTAGTTTAAAAAGATTTGGAGCTGCGATAGCTCCAAGCTGCAGGCAAACCCTTTTTAAGTGGTTTTATTACAGCCTGTTTGCTTCTCCCGCAGAAAGGGAGGTGGCTGCTGTAAACACCAGGATAAGTTGGTGTCACGCTGCTCTTGTAGCATGTGACAGCCGGGTTCCCGGGACTGTCCTATCCTGTTTCAGGTCTTGCAGTTCAGCGCTTCCAGCAAATGTTCTCTTCTCGTTCTTAACTCACACATGGGAATCAAACTAAACAAATTACCTGTCCCGAATAGGAAGCAAATTTCTTGCAGAAAGTCAGTTAAATAGCTAGACAAGAAAGTGCAGTAGCTGCGGAGTATCTCAGGTATCATGAGCAGTTTGTTCTTATAGTTGGTATTCTGCAATGAGTCTGCTGGTTCTGTGCAGGTGGGGTGGGAGCAAACTGAGCACACAAACCCTCCCTGCTGCGCCGAGGTAAGTAGGGAGTGACACGGTTTGTCTAAAAGGATTCTTGTTTTTTTCATGAAATTGTTCTCAGTTCTTTCTATTGGTGAATTGGCAGTAAACTATATTAGTAGATAAGGCTGGATTCCTAGGGTTGTGAACCTTGTTTGAGCATTGTATTTTTTTCTAAAATTTAATAGCCTTCATAAAATGCAGATTGATTTGATTTTTGAACCCTGTTGTAAATAGCTTACATACTTCGAAATTGTGATACTTCTACATTTGAAGATGGATTTACATGTGTATTTAGGAATATATGTGTGTTTGTGAGTCTGGTAATGTGATTTTTTTTATATTTCTTTCAACTTTTCTTACCAAAAAAAAAAAAACAGTTAAGTGAAGCTGTGTGCTACTTGGTCACTTGACCTGACATTTCTGTTACTCAGAGAAACTTTCCTGTTACTTTTTAAAGTTAGAGGAATCTGTGTGTGACACCGGTAGCATCAGCCCCTTTTATTTGTCTTTGGGCATTCTTACTGTGTCAGATTGAGTCAAGAATGGCTTTCAGAAGAAAACAGGGTGTCATCACCACCTTTATTACTCATTGACTCACAATTTGGGGTGGCCTTACAGAGTACAAAAGAGACTAAACCAGAAAATGTACCCTGGGAGCAGGCTTAGTGTAGAACAGCTGCTAATAAGCATGCAGGCAGTGGTACCAAATTAGAGCTGGTCTGAAATGAAAGCTGCTGAAGCACGTGCAGTGCAGGTGTTGGCCTCCCAACACCAAGGGCTTTATCCTCAGGGTGGTCTGTGTTGAGCTCTCTCGCTTGTCAAATTGGTGCAGCTGCTCAGAAATTCGTGTGCTGTTAAGAGTAATGTGTAATAAGTAAACAAGCTCAAGATAGTAAGTTCTTGACTGGCATTTCACTTTAAAGGAAGAAGTTCTTCTAGGAAAGACTGTTCACAACTATTTTAAGTGGTGAAAATGTCATTGTGGGGTTTTAGGTTTGGTTTGGTTCTTTTCATGAAGTGATCAACAGCACAAGGTTTTTTTGCATCTTAAGATTCCATTAACTCCTAGGTTGGCTTCAACAGACAGCCCCTGAGATGTGAGTTTATTTTCCACTCCAGGTTCACAGTCATGCAACAGAGGATAATCACTTTTTTCATATAGGTTTGATTTTTTTGCAGTCTGGACTCACTTAGGTTCTTTCTTTTACAGGAATTTAATCCTGTACCTCCCAAGAACATAACTGGGTGGTACATTGTTTAAAGGCATGCTCTCAATTCCTTATGCTTCCTTGGTAGTATGGAATAGTCACTGAAGTGGCAAGTGAAAAAGTAGTTACCTTTTCTAGTGTTTCATTTAGATATTGTTCAGAGAATGTTGCTTCACACCTTGCATTAAAGAAAAATTATTGCAGAGCTTATTGTTCAAGGCAGAAAATAGATTTTATTACTGAGATGTGGGTGAAAAGAGGGATTTAGATATGGTGTAGCTCCAGGAGAACATCTTGTCTCGGGGACAGGTGTGACTTGCTTCTCTCAGACAGAGTGAGGCTGAAGCAGGTCAGATGTCTGACACGTGGCTTCACTCCCACAACCAGGCACAGGACTGTGCTGCAACAGAAGCTGCTGGGTACTTCAGATCCCATCCTTGACCAGCTGAGTGAGTCAGCAGGGGTTTATGACACTGAGAGTTCAGCTCCCTCAGATGCTGCTGAGTGTCCAGCCTCATTCCACAGTGAAGCAGAGATATTCCGAAGCAATGACTGTCAGTTTGAAATTGTTCTCCTGGTCAAGTTAACTGAGTTCTCTGACAGACAGTGTGTGAAGATTTCCTGAGGTAGCTGAAAGGATGACTCAGTTTGTTCTTCCTTCACTCAAGGAATTTGTTCTAGAGAATTTTTCAGTCTTCCTCATGCTGGTTCATTTAAAATTTATGTTTTTATTCCTGTGCTCTAGGACTAATTTAGAGCAAGACAGGGAAAGCATCACTTCATAGTCACAATTAGGAATCTCATTTGGTTTCACTGCAGTAGGTGATTGATTGTCTGATGTGAATCAGGTTGGCGGTTTCCCATTTCACAGCTTCCTGCAGCCTCCTGGTTGATTAGTTTATTCCTGGGTAAATGGATCATGGCTCAAATCCTGTTAATCCAAAGAGGTGGCGTTTAATTTGCATCTTGTAAGAGCTCTTCTTTGGGTACCTTGTTAAAATGAGGACATGGTGCTTTTTTGGCAGTTTGATACTGCTGTCTTAATTTTATTTTGCTTTTTTTCCAGAAATGTATACACACACACCCAAAAGGCTCATTTGAAATGCTTTTGTTGAAGAAAAAATACTAAATTTTTTACTTATCTTTTTTTCTCTACACTTTATTTTTCCTATTTCAGTCTTCTGGAATGCAAAACTACCTACTGTAACAACCCTGCTTTTGATGTGCATGCTTGTAAAACTTAATTGCTTCAATTCAGACTCCAGAAAACGTGCACATTTTACATTGTGACAAATGTCTGCAGCATTATATACAACAGAGTTGTTTTGAAAAAATATTTTGCACTGAAAACAGATCCATTATGCTTCAGTGAATGTGTAATATGCAAATATGTTTTCACCTACGTTGTTTACTGTCATGTCTTTTGATTCATGTCATGTATATTGTTGCCTGTGTGTTTGGCTCACATAGTCTGCAGTGGATGTCTTACAGAACCAATTCTGAGAAAATCTTCTGTACTGTTTAGACGAAACAGTCACTGAAACTACTTTTTATATGCCAGAAAACCTGCTCACTCTTTGGATAAAACCAGATAACACTTTATTATTAAAGGATGAAAGGATTTTTCTCTTTTGTAATCTTGCTTTTTACCTCTGCCATTTTAATTTTAATAGTTGTGGAAAACAGAACTCTTGTAAAGCTGTCTGTCAAATGCTTGAGATATAACCTAAAAGCACCATTTTATATGAAGCCAGATTTTTTGTGAAAATGTTTTACCATCAGTACTGCTATGTACCATCTCAGAGCTAATACAGATTTTTTTTCCCAAAGCTCTGTTGCTTTGACTTAAAAATGACAGCAATATTTTCTGTCTTTAATTGCAGGTACTGTTCCTGAAAAGAAGAGGAAACATGGTTTACACGGTGAATGAAGCTTAAATTCCTGGACCAAAAACTGAGGGCTTGTTTTCATGAAGGATGGCAACACCATATGTTCCTGTTCCTATTCCCATTGGAAGTTCATCATCCAGCTTTACAAACAGAAACCAAAGAAGTTCTTCCTTCGGGAGCATTTCAACAAGCTCAAGCTCCTCAAAAGGACAGCTGGAGGACTCTACAGCTGATAGTTTTAAAAAGATGAGCGTGCCTGACCAGATTGGTTCCACATCATCTGCATGTAGCAGTCCCCTTGTTAGGACTAAGTTTACAGGTCTGGATACGTCCATAGAATACAGTACTCAGCCTGTAGAAGAAACAGAGCAGAATGAAGATTCCAGGACCTGGGAGGATCGACCATCCACACCTACTATTCTGGGCTATGAGGTGATGGAGGAGAGGGCAAAATTCACTGTAAGTTTTGGGCATAGTTGATCCTGTAATGACAAGATAGCAATTGAATGTGCTTTGAGTTGTCTTTCAGGATTTAATCCTGCAGTTCAGGGATGTTACCGGTTTAGCTTCAAAGTACTTCCTGACAGGAAAATACCATTCTTGTTGTACAGGTGGGACTAGCAAGCAGTCTTTCCTGTAATTGTGTATGTAGAATAGAAGGAATCAATTCTGTTTCATGTATCAGTTTCTGCTGGAAAAGTCAGAAATTCCTTGCAGCTACAATTCCTTGTGAAATTAACTTGAGTAAGTTCTGTGTAGTTAAACTTCTTGAGTAAAATGCAGTCTTCTGTTTGACATTAATGATAAGATGCCTTGACATTAGCCCTTTGTAGTTATAAGTAACTTAGAATATTTCTGTTATATAAGAAACATGTCGATTTCACCTTCTTGTCCAGCTCAGTTTTTAGTAAGAGGAAATCTGTTCTGCAAACAGACTGGGAAGTTGCTTATGCCATATCTTGTGCCAGAACAGCAGCTTAACTGGTTTGTATTGATTTTTCTCAAAGTGAAGTGTAGCTGGCAGTTCATTTTTTTTGCATGCCATAAATATATCCACTTCTAATGTACTTCTGCATTTGTTTTTGTGTGTGTTGTTGAAATATTTCTTTGAGATATTACAGCAGTGCTTATGGGATTGATGGCTGTTTGTTACTGATAATTAATTATATTACTTAAGATGAACAATATTAATCAGAAATAGATAAGGAGAAGGAAATAGCAGACAAGCTTTCTTTTTTCCCTCCTATCTTCTTTTAGATTAGAGAAGTGCAGAATCTTTATGGCAGTTAAAATAGTAATGAAATCAAGATCTTATAGCAAAAAGTTGAGTAATGATGCTTTTTAATTATTTGAGAATGATTCTCTATCTTTTCCTGAGATTTTCAGCTTCTAACATCTTTGTCCATGTTAGCATAAGAGAAGAGTTAAATTTTTTTTCATGGCTAAATTTAAAAAATTGTTTTAAATAATAGCCTTCAAAACCAAAACAACAGTTGATATTGTTATGTGTACAAGAATTATGAATGCCACATAATCATTTAGGTTGGGAAGGACCTCTAAGATCGAGTCCAGCCTTTGGTCACCCCGTTGACAACCAGATGATGGTACAAAGTGCCATATCCAGTCATTTCTTGAGCACCTCCAGGGACTGTGACTCCACCACCTCCCTGGGCAGCTCATTGCAATCTTTAACCATCTTTTCCATGAAGGAATTCTTCCTGCTGTTCAGCCTGGATCTCCCCTTGCACAGCTTGAGGCCATTTCCTCTTGTCCTGTCACTGGTTGTCTGGGAGAACAGACTGACCCCCACCTGGCTACAGCCTCCTTTCAGGTGTTTGTAGGGAGCCTCCTTTTCTCCAGGAGAAACATCTCCAGCTCCCTCAGCCACTCCTCACATGACTTACCCTCCAGACCTTTCACCAGCTTGTTGCCCTTCTTGTCTTTCTTGAAGACATAGCCAAGACAGAGTCCAATGTGCCTCTAAGGTGTTCTGTGTTAACAGTGACAACTTTCTGTCATTATTGTATGGGGAAGGCCAGGTCACAGTACAAGTGAAACATTCTTCCATTGTAAAATGCTTGGATGCATTTTTGCTCTTCCTGATTTCACTTCTATTGCTGAGCTGGTTTCTGAAACCACACAATTAACTGTTTGTTTTCAGTGGCATGTTCTGCATGCAGTTTGCTGTTGTGCATTAAAGCCAGCAGGTAATTAGTCCTAAGAATTTGAGTTGCTTTTGCAGTCAGTGGGATTTAGAAGACAGCGGAAGGCAGTGGAAAGCAAATTAAATCACTTGTAAAAGAGAGGAGACTCAATTGCTGGATTCTTTTTTTACTGTTGTTCACATCTCAGAGTTTCCAAAAATAAGAATCTTATTAAGCTGAATGATGTCCAAGCTTTGGGAGTTAGATATTAGTGCATGTTAGAGTACATGGTTGCTGAAGCTTATGGGAGAAAAAACCTAGGCTGAAAAATATCTCCTTGTAAACATTTAGTCTTAAATGAATTTGAGCTCATGGAATGTTCAATTAGCACTCTCTTTCTTTTTCTTTTTGCCAAGTAGAAATTATAATAAATGCTGAATCAGCCAGAGAATGTTGCCACATATGGGTGTATTTTCATGGATGATTTTTTATTTATACAATAAAGCAATTCATGATTGAGTGGAGTAAAATGCATTTGTTGATTTAATTTGTGATTTTTACCCAAGATCTTGTATGCAGGAACTGAGAGGTGTTTTTGTAATACTCTCGTTCTTACTCACTAATTGCAAACCTTAAAGCAAAGCCAAAAAACACCCAACCACCTTTTTTTTTGCTTTTTCAGAAAACCAAACATGTTTGTTTTAGGTTGCCCATAATTTTGAGGCCATTAATCACAAGTTGATTGTACTCCCTGTTACAGTTATGTTCACTGTAATTGGTGAACTTTTTTTTAAAGTTATCTAATGTTCACTTGGAAATTATTCCTTTTTTTTTCTTGTATACATGTTTAAACAATGCTTTTGCAGAATGTAGAGTAGAATTCAAGAAGAGAATACTAATTAGCAAGTAAATTCACACACATATTCCAAAGTTTATTGTTCTGTGTTTTATTGTGTACTAGCAAAGAATATTCACGATTTTGCATTTATTAATTTTATTTATGAAAATAAAACTTTTTAGTTTTATTGTTTAGTATGACAGTAAAGTAATAAAATACTTGAATGAGCATTAATACATAAAATACAAGGCAGAAAAATTATATTTTAATGCTAGTTTTGTAAGCATGTCCCGCAGCTTGAATTTTAAAAGCTAATAGCTTTTTCCTCTGTCAAAATCCATGACTTCACACATGATGTGTCTTGAAAGTGAAATTGTGTTTAAAACATAGATAAGTACTTGCTGAAAGATTGCTTTTGATTTGCACCATAGTTACCTGTAGTTTCTATAATTACCTGGAACTTAATATATTATGGAATACAAGATTGCTAGAAACAGTCTCAGACCTGTACAGAAGCTGGCTAGCACTGGGGTTATCACTTGTTGGGACTGCAGTAAGAAAAATAGACTTATCAGCTAAGACAACCTGCTGCGACTGCATGATGTACTGGAGAAGATTTTACCTCGTAACAGAATAGGAAATGTTTTAAATAGAATTTAGTAAAATAATGATCATTTATCATTGTGATTCTAGAAGTACCTTTTTCTTTCTTGTATTATATTTTTTACCTACAGACTGGGAAGAATAACCCGGTACACTTGTAGAACCTATCTTTCCCTACATTGGAGAGAGTAAGGTTATGACATTAGACACTCTTTAATGTTTTCTAGTTCAAGTTGTGTTGTTAGATTCATTGTGTTCAGGCATTGGAATATTAATCCTCCTAACAAGTAATTGTAGTATTATCATCATCATCATTGTTTTGTTTCTTCATCCATTTGCTTTTAAATAGGAGTATGGTACTGCTGTGCTGCTCTCTTGCTAAATCTAATTCAAATACCCATTACTTCAGTTACACAGTGATGGTATAATCTTTCTGGTGCAGCTTTCTAGTGAAATCATATTTGCCTGGAAAGACTAAACCTAATGTTCAAGACAAATGCAGTGGAGGATGTAATTTTATTCTGCATCATTTCTTCTTGTGAAGCAAGTCAGATGAGACATTTTCAATATCACAGTATTTGATTATTAACAGTCATCTTAAAAGTAGAGAGGCCTCCAGGATCAATAAGTAAAACTGTAATTTAGCAAAGTTTAAACGTAGATCATGGAAACACACTTCCCTTACTTTTTTGATAGCCAAGTCCTTTGTTCTGCTGGGCAATACATTCTTTCTTACAGGCAGAAATAGTTGTATGTATTTAGGAATTACAGGAACTCCTTCCTTAAATTCTGAAATTAATTTAAACTCTTTGTACTGATAATTGCTATTTGCATTTCTTTTACTCTAATTATTTATCCACGAGTTTTGTTTCATTAAGAAATAGAGAATCATTTTAGCCTTCCAGACAATGCAGTGTGAAGTTTTGCACATTTTTCCTATATTTCTGCATTTCCACCCAGGTATACAAAATACTGGTGAAAAGAAGTCCAGAGGAAAGCTGGGTGGTTTTCAGACGGTACACAGATTTCTCCAGGCTTAATGACAAGGTGAGAATTATAAACTGGTAAATTCTCAGCTATCTTAATCTCACTTCTTTCATGTCTTATGTTTTTGTTATATCTTCTAATTTTTTTCTGATTTTAATGCATATAAAACACGTACTGTATTAATGACTGGAAAAATATGATTCCTCATTTTTTCAAAGATACATTAAACAGCTGATGTAAAGAAGATGTAACAGCTTCATCTGAAGCTGTTAGTGTGCTTCAAACTTTATATTTATTCCTAGTTTATATGATAAAGGAATTAACTCTTCAATATTTATCCCCTGCATGGATATAGAACTAGGGGCTTGTATTCTCTTGTAAGAATATCCAGTAGTTATTTAGTTCTTTTCTGTGTAACAAACTCTAGTTTTGTTCATCATAAAACTGAAGTTTCATGAACATAAATATGTTTTTTGTGTGTTGGTCAGTCTTCAGTTGTTTTCAGTGTCTTCAAAGTTAATAGTGAAATACAATATCAGATCTTTAAAAATGGAGGAAACACCAGATGAATAGGAATTCTGGGCCAACAACGTAATAGTTTTAGAATACTTGAAAAAATACTTGTCTGTAAAGCACAGGGTTTTTTTATGGTAAATTTTATGATTGGTAAATAGTGTTCAGCTATCAAAAGTAGAGAAACAATTGCCCTTCTCATTGCCAGTTTAACACGCTTTCTGCTAGAATGTTCTTTCATGTTTCAACATGAACCTTATTTCTTTACCCATTGTGAGGGATTTTGTGTACAGGTTATCACTTTGGATTTGTGTGCCTAATCAACTAAGAGCTAAATTCAGATGATATTTTGAAAATGGACTTGAACTTAAAAATTTCTCTGTGTTCTTGCTTTGACCTATTTGAGTATCTTCTAGGCTACCTTTGAAACACCAGTGGTGTCTAAAACTAAATTGCTAAATGTGAATTAGTTTAGAGGTTTCTTTCTGAAGAAATTCCTGTCTTAAATACAGTCTATCTTAAATTAAGGAATGCCTTGACATTAGCAAAAGCCTAACTTCTTTTGAGACAATGATCTTGGTATTTCAACTCAGATTTTGGAAGTCAAGTCGTACAGCAGTTTGCATTTTCATCAGCTATGTCAGGTATAAGTCAAGAATTGGCTTACCTCCGTTGACTTTTAGTGTAGTTGTCAATGGTTTGAAACTTAAAATTCCAAAATAGTTTAGAATAAATATTTAAATTTTACACATAGTCTTTGCCATCAAATGCTTGGCAAAAATATTTGGCTTTTACCATTATTTCTAGGTATTAGTATTTCTGTTTAAAGGAAAAAATTACTATTTTTTAAAAATTTATGTCACTGTCTGAAGCTTTTTCACCATTCAGTACACATCTAAACCATTTACTCTTTGGTCTGTAAGACATTATACTTTTTAAAATAGAGAAATGTCAGCTCTAGGAGCTTAAACATACCACCATTCGGGAAATAGTAGAGAATTACAGAATAGTAACATAATAATAGTTTGAAAACACATAATGAAATGGCCAGTCTTAAGAACCAAGAAGTTCACCCTGTCTCCCCAAGACTGACTCACGTGATGTGTAGTGTGTCACATGGTGATGTAGGAAGGAGTAGGAAAGGTCCAAGCAAGCAATCACAGCCAGAATAAGTTATCTGACCCATGGGTTTTCTTGCTGTGTCTGAGGAGTGCTCAAGAAAGAATGCCCCAGGGCTGTGCTGTTGAAAGTTAGTCCACTGACAGCAGCTGAGTCTTACATTCTTCATCCACAAAAGGAGTAATCTGTGGGTAGGGGTACTCTCTCCTTAGAATTAAATTATGTGATCCATGTGACCAGACAAGTAAAGTAGAAGTACCATTAAGCAGAAATCTGTGTGGTTGAGAAGCTTTCTGTATAACTAACAGGAACTCATTTTGTTACATTCTATGGGTTCTGCCCTATTCAGATACATCCTTATATATAAGGCATTAATGATGACTTGGTTGGAGATGAAGGAACTTTGGAGGACCAAAGATAAACTTAAAGATATAAAGAAGGGTCTAATATAAAGATGGAATTCAGTAACAGGAAAACATACTTAAATAATTAAATTCAGAAATAAAGACCAAGGCTTTGACTGTAAACCATTCTGTAAATAAGGAAACAGAATTTATCATGGGCTATTTGAATAAACAATATTTGTGATGTTTAAAAAGCACCTCGTGCTGTAAAACAAGTTACATAAGCAAAGGTCATCCATTAATGTGGTTCTTCCTTCAGAGTGTGTAGAGAGATTCTATTTGAAGTGCAGTATCTGTTCTAAATTTTCTGAACTTAATCTGGTGAAAGAGAGGCCCTTTGGAATTTTCTGTCGCTGAAACATTCATACTAATATAATCAGTGCATGCAGAACATCTCTGACAGAAGTTGGCTAGATCCTGTATTGAGAAAAAATGATGAAACAGTTCTTGTGGCAGCTGAGATATCAAATTTTATAAAACCTATTTGCTTTTTCATGTTGGTTGTAAATCCTCTCCCAGATTTTTCTTTGTCAAGCATAACTTTGAAAAATTGTTTTTTATCAAAGTGTTAAAGTTTTTTTTTATTATCGTGCATATATTAGAAAAATAATTGGCACCCTTGGAGAGGTTCATTGTTGTATAATTTTATGCTTTTTTGTATATTTTATTTCTGAATTCAGAGAACAAGTCTGGGTATTTCTGGTGTCAGCTGTATCTCATTGCTATTTAAGTAACTCAGAAATGCAGTTTTGCATGTTACTAGGGGTTGAGCCATACTTGTGTATTGAAATGTTATTATTCTGGGTGTACAAAGATCTACTCTTTACAAGAAATATCTCATGCATAAATTGTAATTTATTCTTCTAGCCCCCCAAGAAAGACAAGTTGCAGAGTTACAGCTCTGTAATGGGGTTTTATTCTGTATATATGTATATGTAGTAGTTATTATCCCTGAGCACTTCAGAAGAAATACCACTGAAATTATTTTTCATTTGATACTTTTTGTTTTCAGTTTTCTTAGGTTTACAGACTCCAAGGCTTTAAATAACAGACTCAGACATTAAATAACAAAGCAAAGGTTTTCATTCCTATTTTTATGTGTTAAATTTGAGGAAAAATACAAAGCATTCTATTGCATAAGACAGCAAGCAACAGAGCTGTGTCCACAATTTAAGTTGTAATTTAAATTGTACTTATGGTTGAGACTTACCTTGTGCTTGAACTTAGTAGAAGTCAGAAATATCTTATAAATGTGAGTAAAGTCAGTGCCTGTGGCAAAATTAGTATTTTTCTCATTTTTGTCTGTAATTTCAATTTCAGCTGAAAGATATGTTTCCAGGCTTTCGGTTGCGCAAAATTAGTATTTTTCTCAAATTTTTCTCTTTTTTGTCTGTAATTTCAATTTCAGCTGAAAGATATGTTTCCAGGCTTTCGGTTGGCCCTTCCACCCAAGCGCTGGTTCAAGGATAATTACAATCATGACTTCTTGGAAGATCGACAGCTGGGGTTGCAGGCATTCCTCCAGAACCTAGTAGCTCACAAAGATATTGCTAACTGGTAGGTGATTAACCTTTGCTAGTTCATTTGTGGATTTTTTTCTGTCCATACTCCTCTTACAAAACTCCTAGACTCCAGCAGTGTACCTTCAGGCAGTGTGGTGAGGGATTTCAGTAACATTCATGTTCTGCATTTGGTCATTATGTGAATTATTCAGTGTCCCTTTAAATTAGTCCCATCTTAGCATAAAGAAAAGTGGAATTGCAGTATTTTGTAAAGGGATAACTAAAAGCTGTAATATTTAAAATGTTAGAATAATCCCATGTTTATTCCTGAAACACTTTCCTGATTTTAATTCAGAATTGATAATATTGTTAATTTATACTAGGTGTGTTAGGCTTTTATAATGGAGAATACCTACTCTGTTATTCAATTAGTTCTTAAAATGTGTATTAAACTACAGGTTTTTTATTGACATGACATGAAAATTTACAGACTCCTGTACTTAAGTAAATGTAAACTACAAATCAAGAAAGTCTTAATAGATTAGAAAACCTGATGTGTTTAAGCCAGCAAAGTGCAAATATTTCTTTCAACAGTATCTTTTTTTGTATAAAGTGGGGGATTCTTCCAAAGCAGGAAAATGAATAGAATGTAATTCTGACAAATGAAATGTAAAATAATCTTATTACGGACCAGAAGAGAATTTAAGTAAGCAATTTGCTAGAGGCAAAGCAGTTAGTTTTAAAACCTTTGCCAGGACCAGAAATAAAAAAGTTAAGGGTGCTATACTAGAGATTATTTGAGGAATGACTCTGAGAACCTGTCATCATCTGAAAACTTCATTCAAAACAAAGAGTAAGAAATGTTCTAAAGCAAGCCTAATTCTCTCAAGAGTTCTAAAGGAACAAAATCTTAAAATTCTCATGCTGTGGTGTGGCTGTGAGACCATATAGTGCTTTACTTTTTAGTAGAAGGGATATTACTACATTTACATGTTTTTATAAGACATCTAACTGCTGAGTCTGGAAGATAGGGATTTTTACATGAGTCAGACTTTGCTACTCCTTGTAGTAAAAAAAAAAACACCTCTCAAAGTGGTAAGCAGGTAAATAAAAATGATACCATGTTTCCTGTAGAGACAAACAACTAGTTATGACAGGGCTCATATAAAATGGTTAAAAGACAAGGGGAAAAGGATTGATGGAAATTTAGGGGTAGTACCAATAGAATGTTAGATCACAGTTGTGGACACTGATGTTCAGGACATCTTGAAATTTCCTGGGGAATGGAATAAACAATGAGATCACAAACTACTGTAGAAGGATCCTGAGGTACTGAGTGACTAACATCAATTTTTGTTTCTTGAAGTAGAAAGTGACAGTAAGTACACCCATACAGATATATGAACTCCGCTGGTTTTGCAACTTGGAAAATAACTATTGGTATTGATCCACTAGTTTTCTGAATCAGTTCAGTACTCAGCAATAGTCAAAAAGTTTCATTGAAATCATTAGAGGAACTTAAAAGGGGAAAAAGAAGTTATTGCTCTGGGAATCTGAACTGTACTTCCACATAGTTCAGTGCTAAAACACAGCATTCAGTCTCAAAGGAGGTGTCTGTTAGATGTACAGAGAAAACAAGCAAGAACAGATGAATCTGCAGAAAAACTTCCCTGCAAGAGTTCTCTTTAGTCTGTTGTCTTAGGTGAGCAAACAGGGCGTATGAAATCATCAAAGGGGAGAAGGAAGGTGAGTACAGAACATTAATGTTTTGATGATTCATAGTCATCCTGGAGTATGTCATGCTGAGTGGCAAAGCTTTGTTGTGAGATGTCAGAGACAAAGCTTAAATGGTTTAGAAAAGAAATGGGGCTCAGCTTATGAGTTTCTGTGTAAGTAGCTATTAAATATGATTATGTGGGTGAGGTATGCAACTGAGAAGTTTAAAAACTTCCTAATAATTAAATTACATAATAATAGGTGTGCTATAAAGAATCAATCTCATCCCTAAATGTAACTTTTGTTATGCTGCTGGAGACACACTAGTGAATAGAATGGACTTGCTTAAATAGATCTGAAGTCTTTATGTTTTCTATTGTTGCAGCTAGTTCAGCATTTCAACGGGCTAGTTTGTATCTTAGTGATGGACCCTATTGGACAAAATAGCGTTTGTCATAGTTTAATGCAAAAAACTCCAAACTGTAACTTTCAGACTGCATTGTTTATCAGATACAAAAAGGAATTAAAATGTTTGTGGAATCAGTTTGTCTTTTGGCTAATGAAGAGATGGTTAACTGAAATGGTTTGTAGAACTTTTGTCTGTGTAGGGCTCTGCATGAAGACAAAACTTTTTCATAAAAATTTTATAACCTATTGATATGGTTCTAATGTTTAGATCTATGGAAGGTCTGAATTCTTCAAGAAGTGATTAGAATGAAGGAGGTTTGATCCATCTAATATATTTACCTACTTACCAGAGAATAAATTTACTATTAATGGGAATTAATATTTGTACGTCACATGAGCAGTGGTGAGCATTTCACCCTGTTTTCTCCTTTAAAGCTCACCATTTACTTCTCCCATTCTGCAGAGAAGTCAAACTGCTTGGGTCAGACCTAAACCAAAAAAGGCGTTTTTCTTTGTAGAGAAGTCTGTTTCATATCTCTTTATACTTTATGTACAATATTGACAGTGGGAAATTTGCCCTTCAGGGATAGGAGACCTCATTTGGTATATGTATTTTTTAATTAAAATTAGATTCACAAAGTATTTTGAAGATAAAACAGAGTATAATATATGCAGGTGGCTAAATTTAGAGTTTGTGTTTTATAGACTTCTCATGTTTTATGTTGTATTGAAGATTCGTTGAAAGATCAAATTGAAATCCACCCACACAGTTAAATAGTGGTCAGGAAAATTTCAAGTAACTCATGATGTGGGAGAAAGAAGTTTAACCTGCTAAACAGAAGCATCATCTGGCTTTATATAGATGACAGAGCTGTCCTGTCTCCACCCTGTATAAGAAGCTTGGAAGGGAGGAACTCGGTCAGCTTGGAGTCAGGGATCCCAGGTGCTGCACTGCCCCTTGCTGCCCTCCCTAGAGCTGGCACTGCTCCTCCCTGGAGAGGGATGGCAGCCAGCACACGAGTACAGCAAGCTCTGTCACGGGACAGGAGAGATCCCTTTGGTACTTTGAAGGCAGAATCTTTCATTCAGGGATTGAAAGGAAGAGGTGTAACACATGGAGAGGAGGGTCAGAGCAGAATCTCAGAGCAAAGCTAGGCTGCAAGTAAATGTTCATGCCATCAGGTGCCTATTTTAGGAAAAGAAACAACAAAGTAAATATTCAGTGTATTTTAGATAAATGTTCTTTAGAGTCTTTTTAAAACTATAAAAGTGATGGTATAATAAATGATTAGTGTTTGAAGAAATTTCTGCTCATTTTGCTTGCCATACCTGAAGCTGGTTGATTGGAATGGTTAAACAAACAACAAAATAAATATTCAATGTATTTTAGATGAATGTTCTTTAGCATCTTTTTAAAGCTAAAATTGGTAGTATAATGAATGATTAGTGTTTGAAGAAATTTCTGCTCATTTTGCTTGCCATACCTGAAGCTGGTTGATTGGAATGGTAGGTGGATGAAAGTTTCCTTCCTTGTGTTTCTGCTTTGTGAAAATGTCAAATGCAGAATGATTGGAAAACAGAAAATTACTGCCTTTTGCCCTCACTTTTTCCATGGGATCCAGGTGGTAGGAAAAGATAGGAAATTAAGTTTGAATTCTAATTTTTCATTTTTGTGTACTCATTGCAGTAGGAGCAGATTTAAAGATTTATAATAGTGAGAACAAGCAAAACATTGCTCCTGAGGTACCACTTGCTAAATAATTGTGAGTACAGTGTTCTGATTCAAGGTTTTTCAAAGAAGAATGAATACAGCCGAGCAGGAAAGTCTTAAAAAGGTGGCTGAAGGGACATGTTTGGAGATGTTTACGAGTTCTGTGAAAAGTAGTCTAAATTTGGAAGACAGAATGAGACAGATGCTTAAAATACTGCCTAGTAAACCACAGGATTACACCTACTTCTTTCATCTGGCCTTTGCAAAACAATGCACAGAGGGGAATGGCAACTGCTACACAAATCCAAATGGAATGCATTAGTTTGAAATGTGTATTCAGAGATGGCTGTGTAGTAGATCCATGACACATTCCTCTATTATTTTATAACTTATTATTTATATAAAAATATACACTGTATATATAAAAATTATATAATGTGTATATGTCAATGGATCATGATCTTAGAAAAATGGACACAGGTGTAAATGTTGCAGTACTCGTGCTATCACTACCTGAAGATCTGCACATGGATTTTGACAGCATACTTTTTATCCATCATATAATACTAATTTCATAATAGTTATTTTTCTCCAGAAGAATTTTTCAAACCTTTTCAATACCAAAATTATAAACTTGCCAATTATCATGTAGCAACAGATTCTATGAAAATTTTTAAAAATCACGAAAAATCATGTTCTAAAATTGCTTACTCATCTTCATAAGTTACATTCTAAATACTGTCCCTAGTCAACACATACAACTGAGACTTAATAGTTTTTTAACCATTTATTTGTTATTTGTTGTGAATACTTGGAAGTAAATTTGAGGATGTAACTTTTTGTGTCACTTAAAGAAATACCTCTATTTTGTGATAATTTTTAAGTGTTGTTGCTGGTTTTGTACTTCCAGTAATTCACTCTCTTTTATTTGGTAAAGCCTTGCAGTGAGAGAATTTCTTTGTCTGGATGATCCTCCGGGTCCTTTTGACAGTCTAGAAGAAAGCAGGGTAAGTGCTAAGTAGTAGGATAGAAACAGAATGCAAAAAGCAGGTGTTTTTAGAATATTGTTGAATCTATCTAATGATACGGAATGAAACACTTTTAGATAAAAATCACAAAAGGATGTGTTTCTAAAATGGACGTAGGCTGATAATTGGTGCACACTGATCATCTTTGACTTCTGTACTTCATCCCTGTCCCAAAATACAGATCTTTTTTGGGCCATGGATGAAGTTTGCTTTGTAAAGCAGCTACTTATATAAGGCACCTACTGAATATAAGGAGAGATTTTATAAGTTTATATTCAGCACATTGTTACAGTGCTTATACCTTAGACCTCAGGTCTTGCAGGGAAATGTTTCTTGCTATAAAATCACAGAATCATAGAATCAAGGAATGGTTTGGGTTGGAAGGAAACTAAGAGATCACCTACTTCCAACACCCCTGTCATGGGAAGGGATGCCTTCTCATGTAATGAATGCAGTTAAATTATTAATTCTCATGACTAAAAATAGTGTTCTCACAGAAAACTAAGTATTGTCAAGTAGTGTTGTAAACCAGCAGCCTTTCAACATACATATGAGCACACTGAACAAATAATTACTGTGTGTTTCTGTCTGTTTTCTTAGAAATAAGATTTACTGACATGCAGAGCAGTATCAAGGTTGTCTAGAGCAGATGATCTTAGTTTTCTTACTTTATAGAATGTGTTTTTGAATTGTATATATATTGTTAGTCTTACAGAAATTATCAATGTTAAATGATGCTCATTCAACTAAATTTATATTTGCCAGTTTGTTTTGCATATAAGTAGGATTGCCTTGGTTCTTGTTACATTGCTACGTGCATGTGAAAGATTGAGTATCTTTTTAGTGTCACAAGCTCATATATGATTTCCATACAATCCCTTTTCATTACTGATATTCAAGCTGATGAAATTTTTTTAAATTATCATAATTATTTGTTCAGATAATTTAAAACTATTTAAATGCCATCTTCATTGAAATTTCAGTCATGCATGCTGTGGTGAAATCTATGTTCTTCTTCCACTGGAATTTAATCAAACCATTAATATAGCTGTGCTGTTGTAGTTCTAGCTATTTCCCATTTCTGTGAAGTTGTTGAGAGTGCTGTTATAAAATTCTTCAAGAGATACCACACCTTATTTATAGAGTGACTGAGGTTGGAAGGGACTTCTTGAGATCATCTATTCCAGTCCTCCTGGCTCAAGTAAGGTCAGCTACTGCAGGTTGCTCAGGTCCATGTCCTGAGCAGGTTTTTAATGTTCTACAGAGGAGACTTCACAGCCTTTCTGTCCAGCCTGCTTCAGTAGCTGACCACCAGCACAGTAAAATGTGCAACCTCTCAGGTCCCATGGATATTAATAGTAAGGTCCCATGGATGTTATTAGTATATCCAGTTTAAGTGCTCCCTGATCTAGTCTTTCCCCCCTGCAGGTGAGTTTGTCTTGACTTTCTTCTGGCTGCAGGGAAGGAATTACTCAAGGCTGTTTTTTCCAATCAACACAACAAGTCCATGGTTTCCCATCTTTTATTTTGTTGATGATGTACTTGTAGAATCCTTTTTTGCTTCTTTTCACATGCCTTGCCAGATTCAGCTCCAGGTTTTCCTTCACTTTCGTAATAATGTCCCTATAAGATTGGACAGCAGCCTTACATTCCACCTGTGTCATCTCTCCATGCTTTCATCCCTAGTAGCATTGCTTTTTATGTCTGAGCTCAGGAGACTCTTGCTCATCTACACAGCCCACCTGCAACCTTTGCTTGACTTTCTACTTGTTGAGCTGTACTTGCTGACTCTGCAGGTGGTGATCCTTAAATATGAACTAGCTCTCCTGGACCCCTCTGCTCCAAGGTGTTCTCCCATAGATTCTTTCTTTAAGCAGGTTTCTGAAGAGATTTGAAGTCTGCTCAGCCTGAAATCCATGGTTGTGGCTATGCTTTTTATCTTGCTTCTGATTGTTAGGAGATATCCTAAACTCCTGCATACTAAAAGCATCTATATCCATCCCTTACTGTTTGTTGCTTTTCTTTTTTCTTTCCCTGAGCTGCCTTATACAGGAAAAGCACCAAGGTTCATGTACTTATTCCTGGAGTTCATTTTTAAAAATATCTCAAAACTTAATTCTGTTTTGCCTTTCTATTACCATCCAATGCATTGCAGAAAAAAATCTTGTTTTCCTGATAATGGAAAATATGGAGAACTTCTATTTGGTTTATGTCTGTTCTGTTATCCCAAGGACTTGCCAAAACACATCTTTTCCAGGGGAGAGATACAGATACCAACTCCATTAGAAGCTGATTAGGCCAAGAAACTTAATCACAGAAGAGTAGGCAAAATATTCAGTGAATATTTTTTTTTTGGTCATATCCTTGGTAGTTGTTTCCACAGCTCTTTTCCCAGCCATCTCTGTTTCATGATCTGAAGAAAGAAGCAAAGCTGTCTCCTGGTTGTCCTTTCAGAAATTCAGGAAAAATTAGTCCAACCTGGGTATTAGAACTGTTCCAGACTCCAGGTGTCCAGCTGTCTAAAGAACAAGATAGCTCAGTACACACTGTCCCCTTTCTCAGCTTTGGTTCACTTTTCTGCTATTGCAGCATCCTTCAGAACATACTGATGATTTCTTTCTCAGTTTCAAACAGTGCTTGTGTTTGCTTGGGAAGCTCATACCCAGATTGCAGATAGAGATTAGTTTTTTCCAAAGGCTTTATTCTGTTCTCAAAACAATGAAACAGTTTTCAACACTTGTGCAATATTTTTATCTATTTTGGGTGTAGGGAAATTTTCATGTGCATACATCTAAAGATTGAAATAATAAACCTAATTATATTCTTTAGGAAATTATGTCCAATTTTCTGTTAGGGTATCAGCAACCTTGAATATTTTTACCAAGAGCAGAAAAATTTACTTAAGTGGCTTGGCTGAAATGGGATGACTGCTTAACCAGAGTGATAGCTAAAGCAATCACCATAAATGCTGTGTCAAGAGTGAGTTGCATGACACGTGTTCTTGGCTCTAGTAGAAATGAATAAAGATATGGCTTAACTCATGACTGGTATTCAAGTGCCTGTCAACAAAGATAAAGATTTGCTATCTGAGTCAATAAAATAAAATTCCATGGAAAAATTATGGTTATTGAATTGAAAACTCCTCATTTGTTTGTATTGTATAATTACAGGAAAACTTAACATTTTAAAGATCATGAGTCTGCTTCAGTTAAAGCAAAGGATAGTACATTCATTATGTTTGTGGCCTGTTTTAAAACTTTAGGACAAACAGTATCTTAAAAGCATTGCTCTTAATCGAGCTCGTATAAAATGTTTATACTCAGCAGACTCTGAGTTGGTGGTTAGTTGCAAGTAATAGCAAGCCAAGAAAGCCTCCCATGTGGGGTTCTTATTTATAGAGCACATGTAAATTATTAAGTCAGAGTTGCACATTACTATTGGAAGACTTGTGCTTTCCAGTAATAGATGAGGAGGCTCTGTGCCAGCTCTTCTGTCACTTCCTGCATTCAGAGGATGTTGCATTAGACACGGGCTCGTCACGTTGGGTTTTGCAATTGCTCACTGACAGATCCATCAGGGTGTGTGATACAGACATGCCATGCTCAGCAGAGAGCCAGCATATTTGTCATGGCTGAGTGGTTAGTGTTCACAGCATCCTATTAAAGGTTTTCAAAATATTTTTTTACTGTTCTTCTGATTGGTCATTATTTCATATTTGTCACAGGTGTTTGGTACAGAACTGTGTAGCTTTTTCTTTATCCTGGATAAGGAAAGAATATGTACTTAATCCAAATATTCCTTACATCATGGGAATATACTTTGAAACTGACTTTCAAGTCATGTGGAAACAAAACTTATGATGAGAAAAGGAAGCAGGAAGTTCAGTTTATGTTCCGTATAGGTAAAAAGGTTCAAAATCAGGAACTACTCTTTTGGCATCTCTCTCGTTGTGAGACAAACAATTGATGGTGGTGTCACACAACCAGCACCAAAAATGGAGGCAAGCGTCAGCACTTTATTACCCTACAGTAAAATTCATACCTTTCCTCTGTGAATTCCCACAGACAGCAACACTGACCCATTCCTCTCTCCACAGCTGCCCAGCCCACTCTTTTATAACACACATCCCTACTGGACACAGCTGTGACCTGTTAAGGGCAAGGCTGCTTCCACTCTCTGGTGATTAGTACAGCTGCAGCTCATCTGGGTGAGGTTGCCCACAGCACCATCTCCATTCTCTTACAATCCATTCTCCCACATGATATGATTAAAGTATTTGCATAGCAGTTCAGCATAATAAATTCATCATTCAAAGCAAAGCAGCCTTATTAAGATTTTTTTTAAAATTTACATAGCTTTTTGTAGTAATCAATCTGAAGACAAGCAGCTATAATACTGTTACAGGTTGATATTTCTAAGAGAAAAGTCAATAAAGGCAGTCCACTGAAGTTAAATTGAAGATGCACTTAAATTTGTCTTTTAGGCTTTCTGTGAAACTCTGGAGGAAACAAATTATCGCCTACAAAAAGAACTGCTTGAAAAACAAAGGGAGGTTGAATCACTGAAGAAATTATTAACTGAAAAGCAACTTCATATTGATGCTGTTGAAAGAAGAATTAGGTATGTAGAAATTTTAAGGGTTTTAGGATGTTATCTCCATGAAAGCATTTTCTGTGTCTAGTTTAGCTGTATCTTGGAAACCATTTTCCCTACATAACCACATACAAAGCAATATTTTCGGTAAGCTCTTTCTCATATGCTGGCTAAAAGCTATTTAGTACAAATGACTGAGAAGCTTGTCCTATCTTTTCCCTCTAAAGTAACTGTGATTGTTTCCTAATCCTTTAAGTCCTGTAAAGATAGAGCAAGATTTTGTTCTGCTTTTGAAATGCTGGAAATGTGAAATGCCCTGCTAGAGATGAGTGGGAAAATTGCTTTGAGTTATAAAATTCTGTCTGTACTCAAAGCTTTGACAGAGCATAGTGATCAAGCAGTTATATATCTGTAATAATTTAATTTTGTTCTGAATTGCTTGGAATGAGATGCTGCAAGCTCCATTTAAATAGCATGGGAGATTGTCCACTTAAACCCAAGGGAAAACAGTACCTGTCTGCTAAATTCTGTAGCAGGAGCTGAGGAATTGATGTTGTGTTGTCCAGTGTCCCATTAGAGCTGCTGAGTCAGTATTGCAGCATTTCCTCAGCAAAAGAGTGAATTCCTATGGTCCCATTGGAACTCCTTAGAATCATAGAATTATTTAGGAACCTTAAAGATCATCCAGTTTCTGCTAGACCAGGTAGTTCAAGGCCCCATCCAGCCTAGCCTTGAAGACTTTCAGGGATAGAGCAGTCACTTCTCTGGGCAACCTGTCCCAGTGCCTCCCACCCTCACAGTAAAGAATCTCTTCCTGACATGAGATCAGATGAAAAAAGATCCCCTCTGCATGTGTGTCAGACCAGAGGCAGTGAAGAAATTTATTTTAAAAAATTAAAATCTCTTTTATTTTAATACTGAATGGGTTGCTGAGTCCAGCATATCCAGGTTGACTAACAAATCACACCTTAAAATGTGAACTACCTTTGGAAAAGGCTTTAAATGCAATTATTGTGGTGACTCAAAATTCTGATCAGAATACCATATTCAGTTTGTTGCTTACTCCTGAAGGCAAATAAATACATTTGGAAGATCCTTCCCCTGTTTGATAAAAAAGTTATGACATGCTGCTGCCTTAAATAGTGAAATGGTCAGGAAAAATTAAATAACTTGCATTTGGCTAAAACATCATGGTAGGAAGTTCTGTGTGACAGAAAATTAAAGGCATGAATAGCAAAAAGGGACTTGATATTTTAGTGTATTCCCTGAAGATAGATTACATTTTTTAAATACTCAGACACACTGCTAGTTTCCCAGACCTATAAAATTAGTGAAAGTCAACCACATAGTGTCCAAAATCTTGATGAAAAATAATTTGTGACTTCTGGCTGTAAAAATAAACAAGATCACAAGTTTTTTTCAGTAAAGAACTTCAGCTTGTCTGATGGTAAATGAACCCAAAAGAAATGTCTCTATCTTTGGCTTTGTTGAAGTAGAATTTTTATTTGATGGCCTAGCAATAATTAAGCATCTTATGTCTACATGCTCTAAAGGCCAAGTACCTACAGTGGATGTGTGGCAGAAGAGGACAGGTCCTGAGACCTGCAGGATTACTATTATATTATTGCTGGATTTGGCTCAAACATAGGCTGGTGCTCATGTTATAGAGTGTTGCTAAGGCTTTACATAAAATGCATGCATTAAAATAAAATAATAACAACAGTAGTTAGAGCAGTTTTAAACAGGAAAGAAATACAGTAGTGTCACTTTTAACACAAAGTGGATCACAAGCTTTTGTTTCCAATTCAATGCTAAATTGATGTATGTTTTCCACATAGAGAAATGGTTTGGAAAAAAGGATTTCTTTGGTCAATCCACGTGACCATTTGTAGCTAAGCTAACTGGACCGTTATCTTGTGTTGCCATTAAGAAAAAAAATTGTCCTTATTACTAATGGAAAAATACATTGCCTTGAAACTTAGTGTGTGGTTTTGTAAAGTTACAGTGAGAAACTTGAGAAACGATTGAAGAAATCTTTTTGTCATCCTCCTGTCTTCCTTTTGACTATGCTTTGGTTATAATCCTTCCACTGTTCAGGCAAGATGTGTGTGGCTTAGTCTGAATGTAATTTTTTACCTTAAGTCATACTCACTTCTCTAGGACTTGAATTTTGAGAAGCTACTAAATTGTCATGCAACCAGAGAATGATGAAATGGCCCGGGTTGGAAGGGACCTGAAAGACCATCTAATTCCCAACCCCCTGACATGAACAAGGACACCTTCCACTAGACCAGGTTGCTCAGAGCTCTATCCAGCCTGGCCTTGAGCTTTTCAAGGGATGGGGTGTCCACATCTTCTTTGAGCAACCTGTTCCAGTGCCTCAGCACCATGCCAATAAAGATTTTTTTTTCCCCCTAATACCCAGTCTAAACCTACCCTCTTTCATTTTGGAGCCATTCTCCCTTGGGGGACAGTCCTGTCACTACAGGCTCTTGTAAAACGTCTCTGCATCTTTCTTTTAGGTTCCCTTCAGGTTCTGGAAGGCTGCAATTAGGTCAGCCCAAAGCCTTCTCTTTTCCAGGCTGAACAATCCAAATTCTCTGAGCCTTTCCTCATAGGAAAGGTGCTCCATCCCTCTAATCATCTTGGCAGCTCAGAGATTTGGAGGACTGAATTTAGTTCAGGAATAAGCAGCTGGAGCAAATGAACTGTTTAAATAGCTATCCAGTGCAAGCCCTGCCATCTCTGTACTAGTCAAAGAAACGGGGCATGCAGGAGTGAGACTGAAAGGTTACTTTCAGTCTTGTTGCAGAAGCTACCAGGGTTAAAATGAAACAAAAGAATTCTTCAGTGACAAATGTTTGCTGTATGGATTGGTGGTACTCTGTTCTTATCTGTTGTAGGGATTTATCTTTAGGAAAAATGACTCGTCAAATGTCAGGAGAAGAAAGTGAGTGCAGTGGTGAGGTGGAGTCTTCTGCAGTAGAAGCAGACCAGGGTACCCTGGGTGAGGACAGCTGGTAAATACTATTATTTTACTTGTATTTTAGTTATTCTTAAAGTATGTGTTTTGAAATGCTTAGTCTTGTATTAATTCTGCACAGCTGAGAAATTCAGCATTTTACTGGACCTCTCTGCTGCATAAAAGCCCTCAGGATAGATAATTTTAGATCTGGAATAAGTGACAAGTTAAAAAAGCTTTGTCAATGTTTTGTGGATTGTCTGCCTAAAATGGCTATAGAAAATCATACCAGTTTCCACTTATTGATCTGTCTTTGCAGCTCAGACAAAGAGAACCATGAGCCATGCTGGAGTGGCTCTTTGGCTGGAAATTCTGTCCCAGAGATTGAAGTTGCTGAAGTAGCCTATACCACGGATGAAGAATAGCTGAGCAGCAGCAGCTGTTACCTGGGAAAGGTTCATGTTAAGAGTGTGTCTGTGGGTAGGATCATAGAGTAGCTGTGAAGAATTCACAGCAAAGAGCAAGAATGCACATATTGAATGTTTACATAAATCCTTACAAATTATTAATGTAAGAAATATATCCAGTGCTGCTTTGATTTCAGTTTGTATCTAGCCTTTATATATTTAATATATTGAAGTCTAATAAGGGCTAAAATCAGCTAAAGTTTAGGTAGTGTGTATATACACAATTTGGCTGACTTTCCTAGCAGAATGACAAAAGTTTCGCATTCAATCATGGAACACATCTAACTCATATGTCATATATTGCCACTGTTGTGACACATTTGATGTGTTCATCTGTTTGGTATTTGTGTTTTCTTATAGCCATAAAATAATGCTTGCTAAAGTAAAAATGGACTCGTTTGTATAGGAATGGAGAAAATGTTTGTTTTCAATTCTAAAATTGAAGAAAGCTTCTCTGGAAGTTTTATGCAATGCAACAGGAAAACTTCCAGTACCAAGAGAAAAGCAGTTACACAATGGGATCATAGTTGGACGTTGACAAATGGTCATTTTTGCTGAAAGAACTGATCTGAGACCCCCAAAACACTGTGTATTTTCATCCCAAGATAGCATGCTGTAATACTTTTTGTTCAGTAATGCTGCTTTGAAAATCTGGGATATCTTTGTTATATACTTGTAACATGTAACAACAAAATCTGTAAATTTGCCTTTTACTCAGAACACTACCTCTTACCACCTTGCTAATGCATTCTTGTTTGTTTAAAAATATTCCAGATTATATGGAGGCTATTGAAAGACTTGTAAAGAAGCCATATTTTTTCCTGCACAGTTCATAACTAGATTGAATCTAGTTTCAGTGTATTTTTGTTTCAATATATTGTACACATGGGGATGTTGGTACCTATGTTGTATAGCCTATTTTTCAAAATGTATTAAGACAGGATATGCACTTTATAATTAAGACTCCATTGTGCCAAGTTCAGTTGGCTAATTGGTTGAGAAATGGGAGTTCCAGGGAGAGGATTATGTAGTGCCTTTTTGTATTTTACTTGTTCATTACTGCAGAATTTTGTTACAGTGCTCTGGGTCAGTTCTGTGGAATCTTTGATACAGCATTTTTCTGTTCTTCACTTATTTACTGAAAGTGCCTTGTTTTTATTATGCTTTTCCAATAGAAAGAATGCTGTTTTGTTTTTGGTTTTGTTTGGTTTTTGGTTTTTTTTGCCCTATACCACCCACATCGTTGTTTAATGTTGTCAATATGCAGTGTCTTTGTGCTGGAGTTTTCAAAGGGAGCTTTGTACTTCAGGCTATGCATACAATGACCTTTATGCAGAACTGTATAAACCTTCCTGGTGAAATAAAACTATGGACAAAACACCTGTCTTCTTTTTTGCATTATAGAGTAGGAAAAAAAAAACATTTAATGCCTTGTCTAGTAGAAGGATAAAATACTACTAGAATGAGACATTTCTTACCTCAGAGATTTCTTGCACTTACTCAGCCTTGGTCTGAATCCTATTTTTATCAAAAATTGTCTGCATGAAAATGAATGAGAATGCTGTGACACCAGAAAGCTTACTGTACTTCTGTTGAAGGTAAAAGTAAAAAAGGAACTGATTTTTTTTTAATATCCTGCATAAATCCTCATAGATGTTGAGTGAACTCAATAAAATTTTGGCACGTTATTGAAAATACATGAAAACTTGTGTCAGATGTCACTTATATATTTGAAAAGATCAAATGTAGTCTATTAAAATATTGTTAGGTTTACAAATATAAAAATTTTAAAAATATTGAAAAGGTGCTTGGATCATACATGCCTGGGTTTTCTAAAGTACAGCAGGTAAATCTGCAAACCTAGACATTAAAGAAAGTGTTAATATAATTTGCAGTTTAGTCATGAGAGGGCAAAGGAAAGAAAACTTCAATATTTAAAAGATACTTTGCTAACCCAAAGTATTTAGTATCCTATGAATAGACATTTTTGTTAAGGGGGACCTTGCTGTAACTAAACTGAGCTGGAAGAAGTTGAATTTGTTCAGTGGCAGTAGTATCACTTCAGCTATGTTACTGGTTAATGAATGGTTATCCTCCCTAATGGACACGCAGAATTTGAGGTGGACAGCCCATGGTGGCCTTGAACATCTTGATCAAGATTTATTCCAAGTCAATCCCACAGTGAATTTTTTTCTGCTGCACTGTTTGCATCCATTCTGGCACTATTTTATGTGTGTTTCCTTCTTTTACACTCCCTGCTGCAGTATTGGTACAGAAGAAGGCAAGTTTCCAATATTTTATTTGTGAGAATTGACAGTGGAGTTCTATGCCCTGCTGAAAGTGCAGAGAAATATTCAAACTGGAATTGTAGCAGAGTGAGCTATTTACAAGAATAACAACCAGTAACAGGACTGCTGCAGTATCGGTACAGAAGAAGGCAAGTTTCCAATGTTTTATTTGCGAGAATTGACGGAGTTCTATGCCCTGCTGAAAGTGCAGAGAAATATTCAAACTGGAATTGTAGCAGAGTGAGCTATTTACAAGAATAACAACCAGTAACAGGTGGTTCTTCTCTGTTGTAGGTGGTTGCCTTAATAGTTCAGCCACTGATGTGCAACAGGGTTTTCCCCTTAGTTTTAGATTTTAATACATAGTGCATAGTTTAATCTTACTGGGCCTTGCTTTTCTTTAATACTGCACGTTTTAGTCCTTTTTATCCTCCAAAGCACATGCAGTCTGCCCACACCACATCTCTGCTTTTGATTTGTATACTGCTAAATCAATTAAAATGCTGACTAGTATTTAATCAAGAATGAGTCCCTATAAACTCCCACTCCATACCTTTCCCACTGATGACCATGTTGAGTGTAGAACACACAACACAACCGTTTAGTTTTACAGTTGCTGTGAAAAGGGGCCAAGAAAGCTCTCTTCTAGATGGTACATCTGCCCCAGATGGGTTTTACTCTGCAGCTCATTAGAACACTAAGTAATTTGATTTTTTTTCTCTGTGTTTTCTATTTCTTTTTTGAAATTAGCTATGAAGGAGCAGCATTTATTCTACTAGAAAAAATTTGATTTTGAGCAGAACTTTCTGTAGGAAATTTTATGTGGTTTGTTTGTGGAGGAGTTTTTCCTATGCAAGCTATGAAAGGCTCTGATACATGCTGGGTGAGTGGTGTGAAATTCAAAAAAGTTATATTCTGAAGTTGCTGCTACAATCAGGGTTTTTTTAGAAATGTCAAATAACTCAAATTAATAGACCAAGGTCACAAATCACCAAGGAAAGGTAGAATCCTATAGGAATGCCAGGTCTTAGGGGTCTTTCTTCTTTCATTCCTTCCTGTATTTCAATTAAGTCTTCATGCAAGAGAAGATTCCAATTACTAGACAGTTCCATCATTCCAAACTACATACATATTTTTCTTACAAAATACAGAATTTGCTTTAAAGGATGCTTGGGTAATTGAACTGTGTCCTCACATCCATGTTTGTTTAATAAGGAATCTAGGAACTGATAATGCAGCCATCTCCGAAAGATGTCTCTCTTAAGAGTTTGTACTCTGGCTGAGCAGTCAATGTCCTGACCACTGGAGTCAGTGGTTCTATGTTTTTATGGTCTTCAAAACATTGTTAATGCATAGGATCTTAACCTCCTAGAGGAAAGATGAGAGAAAATGGGAAAGACAGAAGGGAAAGAGGACAAGAGAAACTTGTCCAGAGTTTACATTTGTCCCCTTTCAAAAGTAAAAACTTGTTCGTTCGTGTGTTGACCAGAAGTGCTTCTCCACTACTTGTTAGTTTCTGTGTTGTGAGTGGTTTAGGCTCTGTGTTAATTGTAACCCATTCTGGAACACCTTCTCCCACAGCACGGGTGCTTCTTTGCCAGCCTCACTGTGCTAACCTTTATCCCAGTCTTGTTTCGGAGGACAACCTTTTGTGTTCAGTCCTTCTCAGGTTCTGCATTGCAAAGAAAACACTGAGCCCAGGGCTTCTGCCCAGTCTTTTTGATCTGCCAAGATCTTATTTACCTTTTGTTTCTGATGCAACTTTGTGGATTCAGAGCAGTGGAAAAATAGGAGAAATGCTAAACATTTGGCATAAACATGCTTTATGCTAAGCAATAAAATATTAATGTATCTCTAAATATCCTTATTTTGTAATAGATACAAATGACAAAACATGTCATCCTCAGAGTAATAGTGACTGTTGGTGAGTTTACAGATTATTCTCCAGCTGGGTATATTGAGTGTTATACTGGAATACAAAATGTTTCTCTTTAACTTTCTCCTTGGGTTGATGAGTTCAGAACCATTCTGATGGTTGTTCTAGAGTCAGGAAAAGGCTGTCAGGAGACATGTCTAAGCATAACTCTGTGTCACATACAAAGCATCTTTTTTCTTCTGGTGGACATAGTTAAAAGCCCCAAACTGCAGGTTTATCCAGCATCATCAAAACAAAGTGATATTAGGATTGAAGAATCCTGTTTAACAAGTGTCAGGCAGAGTTACACTGATGCTGCCCAGAGCACAGGATGTGCACAAGCAGGATGTTTCCAAGAAAAGAATTTTTCACTGTCATGTAACAGGAAGGCTGAAGAAGCTCTATAATTGGCTGAGTTCTCAAATGTAATTCTGTTCAGCTGGATAAATCAGCCTGATGTGTATGCTATTCCTATTTAAGAGAATGAGAAATTTTTACATTCAGTAGTCTTTCTGCAACAGAATAGCACCTGACACTGAAATTAAGATTCAGGAAAACTAGTGATGTTCTAACTCAACTGGCAAAGCTTTTCTTTGTCCTTTTATACCTTTAACCTCCCCCTGACATTGAGAAAAATGGTCTTCAGTGCATTTCTCTTGTGTATAACCCAGATCTTCACTGTTTTCCTGCCCCTGTTTGTATGACTTGTGCCTTTTCTGTCTCATTAAACACATCAGAGCATCCAGCCCAGGCTGGAATTTTGGTATGGCTTGCAGCTATCACAAACTGCAAAGCAGGGCAGCATGGCTCTGGAGAAGGAGGAGGTGTGGACCTGGGAGTGCTGAACTTGGAGTAATAATTTCAGTCCTTAGAAGTTCCTGCTAGCCAGAGCTGAACCCTTTGGCTTTGGGAGACAGGGACCTCACCTGTCATAGGCATCACCTGTCAGGAAGAGATCACTCCTCAGCATGGGTCTTCCTTCTAGCAGAGACCGATCAAAACATTGGCCTAATAAATGGGATTCTGGAATCAACTCTCAGCAGTGGCCAAATCTCATCTATTTTAAGGGAAGTTAAAAGGTTCTGCACCTTAACCCTTTTCTAAGCCTCTAAAAGAAAAGCAGTGCTCCAACCTATGTTTTCCTGGTTTTCAACACAATCTTCACGGAGACCTTTCCCCTTTTTAGCCCTTTTAAGCTCTTCATGGAAACCCTAAAGGCTTGCTGATTCATACTCAGCGCTTGTTTGACTTGAGGATCACCAGAGTGCTCGCCAAACAAAGTTTGTCCCCACTTTGTATCTGAGAGATAGGTATTGTATTTCCCTCTGCTGTGCAAACAAGGAACCTGAGGAAGAAAGCAATTACATGATTCACCCTAATTGCACAGTAAGTCAGTTGATGCTGTCCTAGGGTTACTGCTGACCCCCTTGACTTGTCAGCAGGCTAAAATTAGATGATTTGCTGATCTAGTGAGACTTTTGCCTCTACAATACAGGAACTTTGTCTTGGGATATCTCAACTGGATTTCAAGTACATTTAAATATCCTTAGTTATAAATTATTTGCTGCTTCTTTGTTTATAATATTCCTTTATTCTACCAGCTCAAATTGAACACACTAGGATGCTTGCATGTGGTGGAGGAACAGGCCTCTGTTTACTCCATCCCATGTGGATTAATGCTTTTCATTAATTTCATTTATTAAGAATTTATTCATTAATATTCATTCATTAAGAAGAAACCACAGCTGCCACAGCTGTTTTATAGAAACGTTGAGGATGACTATGAAACAAACACTGCTTGCTTGGTTGGTTGGCAGTTAACGTGGGTTTGCCAAGCATTGTTCATCTGCCAAGCATCTACTGGGTGAAGGTTGCATATTGACCTTTCATTATCTCATTATTGCTTTGCATTGTCTGAAATATCAATAGGCAGATAGATAGATAGATAGATAGATAGATAGATAGATAGATAGACAGACAGATAGGAAGCAGCTGCAACATGTGGCAAAACTACAGGATCTCTCCTCCTAGATTTCTTGTGGCTCTTTCTAGGCATTTCTGGTAACCAGGTTATGGGGTGGATTGTTTGTGGTGTGATGGAGTCTCCATTTCCCCCTCCTTCTGCAGGATAAATACACCTGTTACAGGGACAAGCAGAGGCAATAGGCAAGAGCT